CAGCCCTACGCTGTTGGTGCGGGGGCCTAGCAGGGAGGCGCTGTGTGCGCTGGAGCTGTGCCTATGCCGAGAACAGGTCGTGCTCGAGGGGGAAGTGCCAGAAGGCGTTCTTGAGGCTGTGGGCTTTGCAGCGGTTCCTAAAAAATACAAGTAAGCAACCACGACAAGTGTTGCTCTTCTTAAGTTGCTTATTTAGTTTTTGGATACAGTGTATATTGCGATGGGTTTGCAGAAGAGGGAACTGGTTTCTGTTGCTATGGTAAAGCTAGTTTAACTGTATAACTGAACAAGTAATACAGTTCAGTGTCGCCAAGGACAGCCCTGCCTGGTTGTCTTGAACATGGTAGTGACAAGTTACGGCTAGTAAACGTTCATGTAAACAGTTGGGGAATTGCAGCTTTGAAATGCTGAGATGAACCTGGCAGAAAAATGCTAATTTTTGTTTTAAAAGGTCTCATGAGATGCTTCAGTTAAATTTGTGGGTTGTTTTTTTCTTTCCTTTTGTTAGCTGAACATCTCTTTCCCAGCCACTGGCTGCCAAAAACTCATTGAAGTGGATGATGAGCGCAAGCTGAGAACGTTCTATGAGAAGCGGATGGCCACGGAGGTTGCAGCTGATTCTCTTGGTGAGGAGTGGAAGGTAAGAAGCCTAGAAGGATGTGCCAGATTTGTCTGTATTTGAGAACCTTAAATTACAACTTTTCTCCGGTATTCAGTTGTCTCAGTAGGGTGTTTGTGTGGTGGACATTTGGCAGGTATGTTGGAAGTTTCTTTTGCTGTATATACTGAATTTGGTGATTGGGCTAGCTTGTTCTTCTACTTTGATTTATCTAAGTGTTGTTGGGGTTTTCTTTTAAGCCTTGTGATTTACGGCTTTTTGCAGTAATTTTTTGCTCTTCATTTGAGTGCTGGACAGGACAATTTAAATCTGTACCATAAAACCGCTGGTTCCTTCTTTACTGAACAAGTTCAAAATTGTCTTCATTGCATTTAAAGTGCTGCTAGTGCATGGGGAAGAAGCACATTGGGCCTGGTGGGTGGGGTTGGAGTACTTGGGTGCTAATATGGACAGTTCAGCTGAACTCAGGTTTGATATTTTCTACTGCTACCTACCCAAAAAACGTACTAAAAGCTTTGCTTTTTCCCATTTGTCCCTACTCCCCATATGTCCCTACATATAACTTGTGTTATATGTAGATTTCCAGTTTGTGACAACAGGTTTTGGTTAGGTTTAGGATTAAAGAAAAGTTAGACAAAATTTCAGTCTGGTGCACCTTAGACTAAACTTTGAATGCACAGGAATTTAATTTTTGAAAATAGTTTTGTAGTTAAGTAGAGTAAATGTAGATTACGGTATGCAAAAGTATTTTTCATATCTCTTGGAGCAGTGTTGGTTAAAGAAGTTGTTCCCATCAGAAGTAACCATGATTTTTCCTGAGTCATGGGCACAGTGCCTTGTTTTGAACAGCATCTTGTGATACTACTTCTTCAATGAAGAGAACTGTGTGAGCTACTATTAAGTGTGTTTCTGTGTTTTCATAGGGCTATGTTGTCCGGATCAGTGGTGGCAACGACAAACAAGGCTTCCCCATGAAGCAAGGTGTCCTGACACATGGACGTGTCCGCCTTCTGCTCAGCAAGGGCCACTCCTGCTATCGCCCAAGAAGAACTGGGGAGAGAAAACGTAAATCTGTTCGCGGTTGCATCGTTGATGCCAACTTGAGTGTTCTGAACTTGGTCATTGTGAAAAAGGGTAAGAGTCTGGATGAAGAAAGCAGTAGGTAGGAGCAGGTAGCTTGAAGGACTCTGCTTGCTAGTGGCTTTGGAGTTGTGTAGAATGCAAATGCAGTCCCCACTTTAGAGTGTGAATGTAGCTTGAAATTCCTTCTGAGCATTACATTCCTGTAATTTGAAAGCTGGTCACTGAAACACATCACTGCCAGCAATCTGATTACATTAAGTCAGCAAAAGTGTCCATGGGGTGGTGCTGTTGGCAGGTGAGTGCGCAGGAGCATCTAGTATTATTTTGAATTTTTATGCACTTTAAACTTATAATTGAAATTCATTAATGAAGCAAGTGTTACGTAGATGCAGGATTAATCGTCATGTTTAAACTTATATTCTCGAAGGTGAAAAGGACATTCCTGGGCTGACAGACACCACTGTGCCCCGTCGCCTTGGTCCCAAGAGGGCTAGCAAAATCCGCAAGCTGTTCAACCTTTCAAAGGAGGATGATGTTCGCCAGTATGTTGTGAGGAAGCCTCTAAACAAGGAGGGTAAGAGCTCAAATTTTACAACTCGTTGGTTTCATGGTATTGTCTGTAGAGAAGTGTCCAGTCTATTGCACTGAATGAAGCACATTGTAGTAGTAGATGCAGGAGTTGTAACTTCTCAGTCAGAAGAGTTTGTTTGCCCCATTTCTTCTCCATCTCTCTGCCCTTGCCCATCTGCTTTGTCAGTTTGTTTTTTAAATAGTAAGTAAAGTCTGGAGTAGTGTTTGCTCCAAATACTTACTAGGCCCTAAGAGTAATAAAAAAATAATTGCTAATAAGAGAAGGTTACATACGAGGTGGAATGTTTGTGGTAGCATTTTTCTGAGTGGAGGATAAAAGCAGTATATAGAGAAGATAATAAGATTTATGGGTTTTTTTTCCCTATTACTTAGGGGCAGCTTCTGAAACAGGCTTCTATTGGGTTCTTTGATCAGGGAACAGAAAGGGTGAGGACTTTTAGCAGAAGAGACACAATAAAGCTTGGGGCACAGTGAAAGCTTGTTGGGTAAAAGGCTGCTATTTTCTCTGTCACAGGAGCTATTCTGTTCATTAAAGAATGTGATGCAAATGGACATCAGACTGTTGTTTGTGACTAGTAGAAGTCACTAGGGCAGCATTGAGTAGTGAAATCTACATATAGGTGTGATAGTGTTTTGCTTGTTCATTATGGGCTGTGTAGGTCTGTTTTTGAGATACATGCGTCAAGCCCATGTAGAACTGTAGAGAGCTTACTAACACTGAAAATAAAATGGTTTGATCTGAAAGCTATGTGGTGAGTTTCCATGTTCTTAACTGTTCTAAGTCTGGGGGGACTTAAAGACAGGCTTGCTGAGAAGCTAGGAATTTTCACAAAAATGCAGGGAATTGCAGATGTGTTAGTGCTTCATTGCTGGTAACAAATCATGAACATTAAGACTGTATTTTATAATCAGTTATTTTCCTGAAAAATCTGTCAATATGTTTAACTCTACGAAGTTGGTATAACATGTAGCATGCCAAATGCTGTTTGTATAACAGTAAGTGAAACTTAAGTTCGTTAGATGGGGCTGATCTGCAATGCCTTTTTTAGGCAAGAAACCTAGAACCAAGGCTCCTAAGATACAACGACTAGTGACTCCTAGAGTTCTGCAGCACAAGCGCAGACGTATTGCTCTGAAGAAGCAGCGCACCCAGAAGAATAAGGAGGAAGCAGCAGAATATGCGAAGCTCTTGGCCAAGAGAATGAAGGTTTGTTTGCTCTTATAACTCAGATACTTGGGGTACCCCATACCACAGAATCAAGGGATTTGATAAGCCTGATGGTCCACTTAGAGCTGCTTTGTACATTTTGAGTAGGAATACCTGGATGTGAGTGTAAACGCTGCTGGCCAAATGTTTGAGCATTTCCATCTATTTTTACCAGTCCTAGAATAGTAGAAATTAAACACACCAACTAATTTAAATTGAGAGCTGATTTTGAAGAAAAAAAGACCAATGGTTAGAGCCTGTGAAGCTAGGTTTTGCAGTAGCCATTTTAGTTAGATGAATTCCAGTTTAACTCAGATGCCCAAGCATTTGAGTGGTTGCATGGAAAAACAGGATCCAGCAGTCGACCTGGATGGAAGATAATTTGGCAAGGAGCCATTTGTTTGGATGAGTTTGCTCTTGCACCGAAAACCACAGCAACTGGCAAAGCAATGTTGTTAGATTATTTGGCACAGTACTTGTGTGTTCTCATGACTCCAGGTGGAAACTGAGAGTAGATAGACCTCCAGTATGCTGTGAACTCTGTATTTGTATTTCTACTGTGATTTTGGGTCCATATTGTTTAAAGACACTGGGACTGTACAAGTTTGTATGCTTGGAGAATTCTGAGCTGTGAAGAGGGGAAACTGTATTTTGCTTCATTGACTTGAGGAATCCATTCTGGTAGTTTCCTTCAAGTTGCATTTTTTCTTCATTTGTAGATGTTTTGAAGCAATTAAATTATGTGTAATGTCTTGGTCCTCAGTTCATGCTGCTTTGCTTTTCAGGAAGCCAAGGAGAAACGCCAGGAGCAGATTGCAAAGAGACGCCGGCTTTCTTCATTGAGAGCTTCTACATCCAAGTCTGAGTCAAGTCAGAAGTAAAGATGTACATGATACTAAAAATAAACCCTTTTGTGGTTAACTTTGTGAGGCCTTCCAGTGCATACTATTACTGGTCGTCTCTTAAATATTAGTCTAGACTAAGGGCATCATGCAGACCAAACTGGAACTGCATACCTTGGTTTTGATACATCGAGTTATCTTTTGAGAACTTGTAATAGATGCTCATGTCTTCAGTGACAAGTTCCAATTTATAATAATCTTGCGAATGCATGTTAATTTTTCTACAAGCAGGATTTACCTGTAACAACAGAATCTGGTGTCATGGCTCAGCAGTAGCCACAGGAACAAAATGTAAGCTAATCTGCAGGAGCTGTGGGTAGAAGACACTTGGTACTGTTCAGTGTTTTAAGTTTTTGGGGTTTTTTCGGGTTTTTTGGTTTTTTGCTTTTTTTTTTTTAATTTAAATATATTTAGACTGAGTGTAAGAGTGGTGAAACGTAAAGCCTTCAGCTGTTTTTTGGCAGAATTGAGTCAATCACTCCAACAGACCCCCTGGGAAGTGGTCACAGCACCAAGCCTGTCAGAGTTCAAGGAGCATCTGGATGATGCTTTGTCAAATGATTTAGTTTTAAGTAGTCCTGCGAGGAGCAGGGAGTTGGGCTTGGTAGAATCATAGGATCAGCTAGGTTGCAGATCATCAGCTAGGTTTTAAGATCATCAGGTCCAACCATTACCTGTCCACTGCCAAGTCCATCACTAAATGGTATCACTAAGGGCTGCATCTACACAATTTTTGACCACTTCCAGGGACAGTGATGCCATCACTTTCCTGGGCAGCCTGTTCCAATGCCTGATCAACCTCTTAAGGTGAAGAAATCTTTCCTAATATCCAACCTGAACCCCCCCTGGCATAGATTGAGGCCATTTCCTCTTGTCCTATGGCTTGTTACTTTAGAGACCAGCCACATCCTTGCTTATCCTCCTTTCAGGTAGTTGTAGAGGGATAAGGTCCCCCCTGAGCCTCCTCTACAGACTGACCCCAGTTCCCTCATCCATTCCTCATCAGGCTTATTGTCCAAACCCTTCACCAGCTTCGTTGCCCATCTCTGGACCTGCTCCAGCACCTCAATGTTTCTCTTGTACTGAGGGGCTCAGAACTGAACAGAGGATTCGAAGTGCAGCCTCACCAGTGCCCAGTACAGGGGGATGATCACAGCCCTGCTGGCCACACTATTTCTGATACAGATACAGGCCAGGATGCTGTGGGCCCTCAGCTGCCTGGGCACAAGCTGGCTCATGTTCAGCTCCATCAATCAGCACCCCCAGGTCCCTTTATGCAGAGTAGTTTTCCAGCTGCTCCTGCCCATGCGTGTAGCGATCTTTCTCTTCCAACTCAAAATATTCATAGAATCATAGAACAGTTTGGGTTGCAAGGGACCTTAAAGCTTATCAAGTTCCAACCCTTTGTCAGGGACAACTTCTATTAGGTGAGGTTGCTCAAAGCCCAGCCTAACCTGGCCTTGAACACTGCCAGAGGTAGGGCATCCACAGCTTCTGTGGGCGACCTGTTCCAATGCCTCACCGCCCTCATAGTGAAGAATTTCTTCCTAATGCCTAATCCAAATTACCCTCTTTTAGTTTAAAGCCATTACCCTTTGTCCTATCCCTGCATGTCTTTGTGAAAGGTCATAGATCAGTCAAATCATGCACACAGAATCATAGAATTGTTGGAGTTGGAAGAAGCTTCTGGAGATCATCCCCCTGCTAAAGCAGGTTCACCTAGAGCAGGTTGCAGAGGATTGTGTCCAGGCAGGTTTTGAGTATTTCCCAAGAAGGAGACTCCACAACCTTCAGGCAGCCTGTCCTAGTGCTCTGCCACCCTCAAAGTAAAGAAGCTCTTCCTCGTATTCAGGTGGAAGTTTCTGTGTTACAGTTTGTGCCCGTTGCCCCTTATTCTGTTGCTGGGCAGCACTGAAAAGAGTCTGGCCCCATCTCCAGACACTGGCCCTAAAGATACTAGTGTGCATTGGTAAGATCCCCTCTCAGTTGTCTTCTCTAGGCTGAAGAGGCACAGCGCTCTCAGCCTTTCCTCATCAGAGAGATGTTCCAGTCCTCTAATCGTCATTGTAGCCCTTCACTAGACTCTCTCCAGTAGCTCCTTGTCTTGTACTGAGGAGCCCAGACCTGGACACAGTACTGTGGATGTGGCCTCACGAGGGCAGAGCAGTGCGGGAGGATCACCTCCCTCAGCCTGCTGGCAGTGCTTTTCCTAATGGACCTCAGAATACCACTGGCTGCCTTGGCCGCAAGGGCACATCACTTGCTCGTTCACAACTTATCTATCAGAACCCCCATGTTCTCTCCCACAGGGATACTTTCCAGCAGGTCAACCTCTAACCTGTACTGGTGCATGTTGTTTCTCCCCTGGTGCATGATCCTGCCCTGTGTTGAACTTCATTAGCTTCCTCTCCACCCAACTCTAGCCTGCCCAGGTTTTGCTGAATGGCAGTACAGCTTTCTGGTGTATCATCATCTCCTCCCAGTTCTGCATCACCAGCAAACTTGCTGAGGGTGCACTGTCCCTTCAACCAGGTCAGTGTTGAATAAGTTCAGCAAGATCAGAGCAAGTCCTGGCCTCTGTGGTACAATGCTGGCCTATAGTTTCCTAGATCCTCCATGCCCCTTTTGAAGACTGGAGTGACACTGGTTTTTGGCCAGTCCTCAGACACCTCTCCTATTGCCATGACATTTAAAAGATGATGGAGTGGCTTTGCAATCACAGCTGCCAGCTCCCTCGTGGGTACATTCTGTTAGTGGGTGTCAAGTTTAACTATCTATCAATCATCTTCTCTGTTTCCCACCCACCCTTTCATGTATTCAGACACATGGGTGAGATTCTCTTTCTCCCCAGCCCACAAGCTTTCTCCAGAATGGGCAGTCCTCTGTGACCCTTCCCTTGTGTGACAGATGCTCCAAGCCCTTCTTGTGGCCCTTCACTGGCAAAATTCCGGGATCTCCAAGCCTCTCTTGTACTAGTCATCCCAGACGTGAACATAGCAGCCAGACACGTCTCACCAGCACTGAGTAAAGATCACCTCTCCACAGGCTGCCAATGCTCTGCCTAGCTCGTTCCAGGCACTGTTGCCTGGCTTTGCTGTGAGCACACTGTGCTGGCTCATGGTCAGGTCAGGTTGGTGTCCAGCAGGAGCACCAGGTCTTTTCCTGCCCAGCTGCTCTCTTGCCAGTCCGTCCCCAGCCTGCGCTTGTGCAGTTATTTCTACCCAGAGACTAGACCTTTATGTTTCCTTTTAGACCCCATCATATTTTCCCCAGCTTGGTAGGTTAGTAACTCCTGCTTTTCTCCTTTACAGAGAAAGTTTGTCTCTACAGAGCTGGGGAGAACTACCTCTGATGAGTACTGTGAGGGTAGCTCTGAGCACATGAGGGATCTGAGCTTCCTTAAGCTAGCTCCTTCTATCACCTTCTACCATCACATTCCCCCAAGTTAGTTTCTCCACCTAATTTTGGCACAGGACACAGCAGTTGCCTCCTGACTAAAGCTTTAAACCAGTCCTGTGTTCATGCTGCTTCAGGGATTCCTCAAATGCAAATTTGTGTTGCTTTCTGCCTGTTACCCTCTCTCTCCTCCATCCTCCCCTCTCAATAGGCGACATCCAAGGCAGTGAATTAGGAAGGCAATGAAGTATTTTTAGCAGGTGACATTCCTAAAAAGACCACAGTGACAAAAGCATCCAGAGGAAAACAAGCAAAGTCATTGTGATGCTGACAAAATTGAGAAAGTCCAGAAGCCTAACTGTTCATGAACTTCTGTTCATGAACTTTCTGCTTAAAAACAGGCCTGAAACACGAGTTTATTATGAATCTTTCCCACAGACTACCAGTCTGTGCTATGTATATCAGTTTCTGCAGAGAGGTATTTAGGGTTTGGTGTTCTTATTTTTACTAACAGATTAATAAAATGGCTGCCATACATGAAGGAATTTGAAAGATACGCCACTGTGAAGGGCTGAAGCATTTGACAGTAACTGTCAGTTTCTACTGCTTAAAGTTCATCCCAGCCTCACCCCTTCCCCCTCCCCTGAAAAACAAAACAAACAAAAAAGAAAAAGAAAAAGAAAAAGATTAAAAGTCTGGACAGCATGTGTAAACCTGCAGGTCTGTTCTGAGGCAGGAGGTCCAACAGTGTCTCTTGCAAGCCAGGATGTGTCACTGAAAGCATCACTCTGTGCCCCCATTACAAAGCTGGTGGCTTTGTAATGGGGGCACCAGAACTTGTGGGAAGTGATCTACCAAGCACAGCTTTGCTTTTGCCCAGCTATAGGCTGAATTTGCATTTAAGATTAAATTCTGTCAAGCAGGTAACTACTAATAGCAAGAAAGCCGAACAATTTTTACACAGGATGCATATATATTTTATTTTGGGAAATACATTAGAAATTGTTTCTTAATCTAGGATATCTATACATAATTCAGAATATGCAGAGTGCCCTTTTAAACTCAAGAAATATTTGTCAAATGTACAAAAACATTACAGAGAAAGATTTGTTAATCAAAGCACAATAAATGGATGCCATTTTTCAACAGTTCAAAACAGTTTCTAAAATAGTGCAAATTTTATTGCATTAAACTTCCCAGCTCACTTAATTCATAATTTATTCACACAACATCCTTTCATCCTCATTACAATACAGTTTATTTTAAGCTCCTAAAAGGACTTCAATGTGCTTCTGAAAAACAGCAAACAATCCCTTTTATTTGCACCACTGATGCAGACACTGAAAGACCATCCATTTCTCTCCTCATATGCATTACAATATACAGCACAGTGGAATACAGATCTGGAGTCAATTCAACCATTCAGTTTTAAGACTTAAAAGTTGCAGGGGTGTGTGTGTGTGTGTGTGTTTTTTTAAAAAGGTCCATAATGAACAGCTGACATACAGAAGGCATTTTAATGTTTTTATTAGTTAAAAGAAAAAAACCTTTTGTTGAAAATGTACAGTTATGTGAATAAGATGACCTGCTTACCATTTAATCAAGTTATCTGCATTGAAATAATTGT